CGCACGGACCACTCCACCGCGAGCTGGGACGAGGGGCTGCTGCGGTTCTTCACCAGGCACTCCAGGGTCACCCACTCGTTCTCCAGCACCGTCAGGTTCTTGTGCATCTGGCTGACCTGCAGGCGGTTATCTGTGGGAAAAGGACGTTAGAAATGCAATGTGACCAAGGGCTGCAAGGGTGCTTTGTCACCCCACAAGGCTTTCATGCATAGCCACAATCCTGGGGTGTGATGGAAGAAATACGGAAGTAGAGGAAAAAATTATGGAGAAAAGAAAGGACAAAAAAATAATAGAGGAGGAGAAAAAAATAAGGTTTGTGTTTTTTAGTGTCTTCTGAAAATCTCAGGCTAGTCACCAACAATGACCCATTTAGTTCAGGGAATTGGAAACCCATCTCCCACCAGGACCTGGGAGGTCCTAAGTGCACAGAGACCTAATGAAGGGAGATCACACCTCACTTTTTTCTTGTTCTCCTCATAGGATGAGGCAGTAGCCTCATCACACCCCAACCAGTAAGCCCCCTGTTGTGGAAAAAGGAAAAAAACCAGCAAGGTAGAGAACAGACAGCTGATTACAGGGAAGCCCCGCTGCAAAACAAGAAGTGGCATGAGGGCACAGTCACACGCAGTGTTTTGCTGCCTTGGGAATGTCCCTGGTTTGTGCTCCACAACTTCATTGATACATGGGAGGGTGACTGGAAGCAGCTTTTATGCGAAATGACGTGTCCAACTCTCCCAAATCCCTCACAATTCTTTCCAGGGCCAGCCTGGACTTCCCTGGTACTGCTGCTGCAGCAAGCAAGAAGCACTGTACTTCCCAGAGAGAGCTGGGTGATGCAAAGGAGGGGACAGTTACAGCCCACCATCCCTGACCACCCCTCAACCATCTTGGGACTCTGCAGACAGAAATGAGGAGCTGGCACTGGGAGTAAGCCATGCCCTGCTGTGCTTCCTGTGTGTGTGACCAGGCAAAGCTGCACTGGGATATCCAACATCTCTCTTGCACCCTTGTCCACAGAGCTTGTGTCTAGCCAGCCAAATCCAGACTGAGAAAATGCACTAAATACCCTACTCCAGCCCTGATATCCATCTGGCCTGAGGGATTTTATCTTCCAGACACAGGCAGCTGGAGCAAGCAAGGACAAGGCAGGCTTCCTCATGAAGTACCAATGCTCTGGACAGTACCTGCCTCCCTGCCTTTCCCCTCTGTCCCAGCTTGTGTGGGCTATATTTAGCTCTTCCACCAGCTCACCTTTATAAGTGTCATCCACTGCTCAGAAACCACCCACAGAGCAGATCTCTCCTTTCCTGGCAGCCAGCTCTCCACCTCATTAAGTGTTATTCCCATCTCATGTGCAAAGGGAAAAGACACAAGGCTCCCTGTGCCTGCCAGGATCCAGGCACAGAGTAAAATTAAACTGTGTGCAAGACATAAAATTGCTTTCCCAGACAGGCACACACACAGGGGTTCTCTCTCAGTAAGTCACAAGCTGACACTCTTGCTACATGATGCTCTCAAGGATAATGAAAGCTGGCTGGATGCAGTGGCCCTACAGGTTATGGGGGATGGACAACCTTAATGTGGGGACACTGAACAGCTCAGGTTGGAGGGAAAACCAATCAAAGGAGGGAAAACCCTCCTTCCACGCAGGGATGTGCAGGCATGAGGATGCCAGGACAGGGTGGCAATCTCACAGGCCGTACCAAGAGGTCCCCACCTGGCTGCTTGACGGTGACCTCGGTGCGGCCCGACACCTCCTCTGCCAGCTTGTACCAGGCGTGGTTGGGGCTGAGCAGCCACTCCTCCACGTGGCAGTAGTAGCTGCCGCTGTCGCGCACCTCAGCCCGCTGCACCGTCAGGCTGAAGAGCCCGCCCGAGGCCGAGCGCTCGAACTGCAGCCGGCCCCGCAGCCCCTCCTCCTCCGCGTAGGTGCCGTACTCGAAGGCTGAGCTGTGCGTGGTCTTCAGGATGAGCTTCCCGTCGGCGTCCGAGGGCTTGTGCACGTACCACAGCACGGCAAAGTGCGAGTCGGGGCTGGTCTGGGACTTCACCGAGCAGTTCAGGAGGATGGGCCGGTTCTCCACCAGGGTGATGCTGCGCTTCGACTTGCTCACCTGCAGCTTGGTCACTGCAAGGGGAATGGAGAAGCATGGAGAGAGGTGGGTCATCAACACAGGAAAGAAATTCACCAGATTTGGGGTGGACCAGAGAGTGCTCTCTTGCTTGGATCCCACATACCTTTAAGACATTTCTCAAATCTCTTCTTTCAACCCTATCTATTCCTGGATCCTCCCACTGTTTCCCTCAGCAAGAGAGGCTGCTTTTTCACAGTCTGACCTTTAAAAGACTCTTTTTAATTCATAGTAGTCTAAAGCAGCAGACTTAGTAAGATGACTACACCCAAACTCAGTGGTTTTTCTCATGGTGAAATCATACCACTTGTACCTCAGGGCAATGAGCTGTTGACCAGTTCCAGAGAAAACCACTTCTGAGAAAGCAAATTAAATGAGACCCCAGTGGTGTCACAAGCCAGCCATCTCAGTGAGATACATCCCACAGACACACAATAGCTAGGGGAGGAAGTGCAGGCACAAGTGGAAAAGGAGAGAGAGCACCAGACTGGAAGGGATCAGCAGGGAGCAAGCTCTGCTCCCCCTGGAGCCAGGAGATCTGGCTCCAGTTCACCACAAACTGCACAGCCTAGGACAAGCCACAGGCCCATCACCTCTCTTGGCTCCCACACTGTAGCTAAGCAGTCCCATGGTGTTGAGGATGATACAGCAGAATCATTGGCTCTAGTTCCTGTAAGGAGAGACACACGGATTCCCAATCCCTCTCTCCCTGTACAAACACAAGACAGAGCCTCTGCTGCAGTGTGTGCTCACGCTGTGCTGTCACCCCAGCCCTAAGCCAGGGTACTCCTGTTGGCAGGGAGGTCACAAGGCGCCCTCCTGTGACACTTGTGCTCGGTGTGCCCTGGAGTCCCTGCCAGCCACAGACAGGGGAGAAGGGCAGCTCCCACCCAGCCAGACACACCCCTGTTCCCCTCTGACAGGGGGAATGCTGCCTTCCCGCTGACAAGCTGCAAATCTCTTAAATAAAACTCGAGGAGCGCACGGGTACAAGTGGCACGACAAAAGTGTGGCACCACAGGCACAAACAACTGAAGGCTGCCAGGGCACCTGTGCCCATCCACACCCTGGAAACACATCCCACGCATCCTGTGTTTGTGAGGAAGCAATGTTGCCTTCTGTCTCTCTCACCAAGGCACGGGCTCCTTGCTTTGCATCATGCTTTGCTTCCAGCTTCCCTTGGGCACCAGGGCCTCGGATGCCTGTCGGCACAAGTGATGAGTGACAGTGCCCAGGGAGAGGATGGGCACAAAACTTCAAATGGGAGGAACTCCCACCACAGCAATGCTTTCTGAGCTATCACATCCGAGATAGGCATCCTGTATCGCATCAGACATTCCCCTGGAGCCTGCATTGCCCCTGGCTTTAATCAGTATGCTAATAAAGACTCTGTGCCTGGTGCCTGTGGTATGGCATGCACACAGTGGAGGAAGGAAAGGAGGGGAAATGTCCTTGTTTTTCCTCCCTAGGGACTTCAACCTAATGGAAAGAGTCAGTGTCACCCTCTTGCATTTCTGCCATACCCCAGACACATTCCTTCCCCTTTGTTTCACTCCAGGACAACAGCTTTAGCTACACACCCACCCTCATCCCACCTTTTCGGCTCAACACTGGTTAAGAACAGTTATTTCGAGCATTAATCAATCTTCCAAGTCCCTAGGAGATGAACCAATAAAGGAGAAGGTGGTTCTCAGCAGTTTCCTCTCTCCCCCAGCCCCCTTTCCAAACAGTTTATTTTTAATTGGTACTGGATTATTTTCTGCAACCGTTACTACGGAAACCTTTGTTACTATAGCAACTGTGTATGTTAAGTCAGTAGCCCTATATCTATTAAAATGCAGTATATACACACACAGTGTGTGGTGGGTTGCTCAATATCAACACACACACACACACACAAAGCCAGGGTACACACAGAGCAGAGCTGCTGAGAGGCAAGCACCCCTCCCTCACAGTGCTCTTCCCACATCATGGCACCTCCAGGAGATGAAATGAGGATGGCTGACACTGAATAATTCTAATCTTAGTGTTTGGGGCAACAGACCCACCTTGTACATGACAGATGTATTCCACTGAAGCAGTGAGGGCTTGTTCCCAGACCATAATCACAGTAATTGTCACTGTGTACAAACAGCATGGGCCCCTGAGGTCATCCAAGGACTCTCAGATGGCCCCTCAGCAGCTTTCCCTGCTCCCATGCAACCTTTGGGAAGAAATCTTTTTGACTGAAATGGGGAAGCAATCTTACTAACTCTGGCAAAAATGAGATCTTAAATTTCACACATACCCCCCCATCCTTCCAAGCCATCCTTGGCAGGCACTGCAGCCAGCAGTCAGGAATTTGCCCACATTTGCACTGAGTCCCTAAGATATTGATGAGGTAGTGCTTCTACAGCTGCTCCCAGATGGAGCAGCAAGCCCTGGCAGGGAATCACGGTTTCTCTTTGCCAGACTATACTCTTGCAGAGGTTCATATAACACTGTGCACAAAGTTTCCTCTCGATTAGAGGTATCAGTGATATGTAATGACATCCCTGCCAATGCACTTTTCATCAGACATGAATTATTTTCCTAAGGGAGGCACACCAGAAGATGCAAGTGCAGGTTCTGTTTCCCTCCCATAGAATTAGAGAGGACATTGTCAGTCTTTTCCAATTCTGTGAATGCCAAATGCTTCCACATCCTGGGGCTGCTTCCTGCATAGTACACAGGCACCCATCTCTTCTTCATTACCTTTTGCAGATCCTACAGTAGTGATTCAGGGCTTTTATGGACCACAGGCTGATAACAGCTAAGCTGGAAATCCTGTGACACACAGGATTACCTTGGGGCAGCCCCATCCTCAGGGGAAAGATCCTGGTTAAGACATGGGAAGCTTTGTGGGGTAACTCACACTTCTGCTCTGCCATGGGGCTGACCATCAGCCACTGTTCACAGATACACAAATCCACAAAGCTCATTCTGCATTTGGGATAAATTATTTAAAAAGCAGAAACTAGATAATATTGAAATTGGTGGTCCAGGGTAATGGGAATGGCACAATACAACACCAGGGAGTCCATCTATCCCTTCCCATAGTGGTGGTAAGCCTATTCCAGTGCAAACTGAGTCTCTCCATGCCACGTGCAGCTTGCCAGGTCACGTTTAGAGATGTTGCCATGGCATGGAAATGGTTGTAGCTGCTGGTGCACCAGTGAGGTTGCAAGAAGTCTGACACCCCAGGCACCCAGCCAGTGAAACCTCACCCTACTGACAAGGGGGAAACTCCCTTTCCTGGCTTGAGGATTTGCCTGGGCAGAGAGCCAGGAAAGGGCTTGGCCTTCAAACTTGAGTTGAGCCCTGTGCCCCAAGGGCTGGGGTTTAGGTGAGGCAGGGCTGCTCCAGCCCCATGCCAGGCAGCAGAGGTGGTGGGCACAGCAGTGTGAACAGACACAGTTACCCAGCATTTTCTGCTGGCTGTCAAGAGGCTGATGTTCTCTTAACAGCCTCCCAAACATCTGCTCTGTGAGACGAACAGGTGCCTGTGTCTAGGTGAAGTTATCGTGCATATCATCTGCAAACCATAATCCTTGTTGCCACAATGTCTCCTGGCTCCCTGGAGAGTGCCAGTAAAGAGGATATTGTACCTTAATGTACTGTAATTGGCCCTACATATGCTATTAAGGCTTTCAATTTACACTGGCAACAAGTCATGGTTAGAAACCTGTTAGGTTTTTTTTTAATCATTATTTCAAGATGCGGCAGCTTCTGGTCCTCAGAGCTTGCACCTCTGGCTGGGACCTCAGGTCAGACACACCTTACAACCCCAGTGAGCTATGACACAGCCAGATCCTCTACAAGCTGATATGTAGTAGATGTTTTCTCCACACCATCAAGCAGGCTCCTCAAGCTGAGCATGTGGTAAGCACAGTTATACAAATATTTGGGGGAAGGGAGAGCAGTCGTCAGAGGAGGAGGGCTGAGACAGTGAAGTGATTCATGGTTTTTCTGCTGACTTGCTGCCTCTTGGCTCCCTCCCCTCTGTTTCCTAATCATCAAGCTGGGGTTACAACACTTACCTTTAGCAAAGCACTTTGCAACCTGTACCTAAAAATGCTATGATAAGATGATGCTCCCATGTCAAATACCTTACATCATTTTGCCTTGTAGGCAGCAAGAAAACACAACAGCAGGAGTTTACTTCCCACCTGGGAGCCACAATTACCAAGTCCTGGGAATGGCAATGTTTAAAAGCAGATGAAGATACCATTTCCTCAAAACAGCCCCACACAAAACCCCAGAATGTTGCCCCTGCAGCGAAGGAGGAGGGGGCCATCCACTGAGGAAGGGGCCAGCCCTGCATGAACAGCAGCTGTGGCACAGGAGGGTGGGCAGGAGGATGGCCACCACATCCCAGAGAGTCCCCAGAAAGCCCTGGCACCACAGCAGGGAGGCAGTGCCCCACTTTGGAGGTTGCTGCTCGCTGGGGAGAGCTCCTCCAGAGAACCCTTTTGCTTGGAAAGAACTGATGAAATGTTGCAAAAAGTTTTCTGGGGAAATGTCCTAATTTTAAAAGCCTCCACCGAGATTTCACTGTGCTGAGGTGTGTGTGCAGGGGGAGCAGAAATGAGGCCAGCCCAACCTGAGCCCAGCCCTGGTTTAACACCACACAGTGGGTTTAGCAGGCCAGTCAGGAGAGATTCTTTTCCAGCAGCACAGCCCCATGGTGACTTCTACAAGGAGCCCCTCTCTCCCCAGCACACTCAGTGTACAGCCCTGAAGGGCACTGGCCAGGCCTTGGGCACAAACTCAGCCATTCCCTCAGCCTGTGGTCACATCCCAGGGGTGCTTCATCATTACCCTCACCAGGGTCTGAAAAGCCTGAATTCCTCCAGGAGGATGTTTGCCTGGGATTCAAGAGACCAGTGTGCAGGTTACTGCCACAGGCTTAGACATGTACTGACATTCAGACCCCTGCCAGCTCTTCTCCCTTCCACAAAGCAGGGCTGAGGAGCCT